GAGCGCCCGGTGTTTTGCTGGAGCTGGAAAGGGAAGCCGTGGAGATGGCCCCGTCCCGCAGGGAATGCAGATGGCCCCATCCCACAGGGAAGGCCCCATCCCGCAGGGAAAACCCCATCCGGCGGCTGCAGAGGGGCTGTCCCGCCCCTGGAGCCGCCGCTCATCCCGGGATGGAGCTTTTCCAGAGGTGGGAACTGCTGCTCTGCCGCGTTCCCGCTGGGGCACAACCCCCCCCCCAGCTCCCCCCTGCCTCAGCTTCCCCCTCTGGAATCGGACAGAGGGACACCCCGGGGGGCTGCGGGGATGGGCTGGAATTCCATGGATCCCCCCGCTCCTCACTGCGTGGGAATACACCCCTGGTCCAGCCGGGAATGCTGCTGAGGGCACTGGGAGGGCACTCCAACCCCCTCCTTGGAGCTGGGGGTTTCTTTTCACACCCTTCCCAGTGTCTCTCCCTGCTCCAGCGAGAAGGAAAAGGACGCAAAACATGGATCGGGGTTCCCACAAACCGGTGGGTGGCTCCAAGGATAACTCCAGGATCGGCAGTTCCCCGTTCTTCTCGGCGCTGGGTGATATTCCCGGCTGTCCCAGGGAACTGCGCTCTCTGCACTGCCCCCACTCCGCGTCAAAACATGGATCGGGATTCCCAGAAACCGCCGAGTAGCTCCAAGGACAACCCCGGCACTGGCAGTTCCCTCTCCAGCTCCGGCGAGGGAGGGGGAGCCCTCCTAGGATGCTGCGGGAACACGGGGGGTGAGGATGGGAAAGAGGCGCCTTGGGAAGAGCTGAGGCCGTTCCCAAACTTCCACGGATAAACCGGGATGAAGCCGCGGGGATCCCCTTCCCCTTGGAGGGGCCAACAGCTCCCGGGCTCCCGCAGCTCCTTGGAAAACAAGGTGCCCGCTGCCCGGGGGTGGGCTCTGGCACGGGAGGGATGTCCCCGCTCCCTTTCCAGCCTCTTCCCATCGCTCCCAGCAGGATTTTCCCGTCCCCCCCAAAGCCCAGCGGGGCAGGGAGCGGCTTCTCTCC